ACAGTTACATGTGCACAACTGCTTGCACAACAGTTCAGTGAAGCTCCCTTAGCAGTTTTAATTTATGTAATAACACCATTTGATACCAACCTATACTAGCATTCTTTAGTATTCAATCATTTTAAAGGGTTTGGTGCACTGGAGCCAAATCAGCATTTACTAAGTAAATTGTTTCTCAAAAGCAAGTATCAACTACAGCACAGGAGCTTTGATTGTATATCAGATAGCATGTTCAGTAGCTCTTAGGGTTGTTATAACACACACATTCTTGTTTAAAATGTAAACAACCAAATGCTTTATAAACATTAATTCTTAGATGGATGTGAAATTTTTAAAAAATGATAATAGAATTAATATGTGATATTTTGAAAGCTTTGCTAAAATTGCAATTTCTAGATGTCCACCACGACCCGCTACAAAGTAGAACACTTTGGCTCAAACTAGCCTTGAAATTACCTCTTGAGTGACTGATGATAATTAATGAGCAACTGTGAATAGAGTGGAAACTAGCATAGAGCCCAGCCTCCACCCCACATATCCACTGCATAAGCCCTGGGAAGAAAGGAGTAATTGTAAATTTTCTCACAGGGCAAAGGGAAGTAACAGGGAGCATGTTAAAGCCTTCCACCCCACATGCCATGGTTTCAATCTAATTTTCTTTCACACACACCCCATGCTATTTATTTAAACAACTATGAAGGAGTTTAACATAATTAAAGCCACATCTAGTTTTACCCTTTGAAAGCCAAGATTTTGTTTATCTCTGTGAGATGACTGACACATTTATACATGTTACATTTCATCTAGCAGTCCCACTTCACAGAGAACTCTGGGGCCTGTAGTTCTTGAATGGGGACTCTGTTTCCCACAATGGTTCTTTCATTTAAGGGGCATATGCAATTTGTTAATGTTCTCCCACTGCATTAAAATAAGCTCAGACATTGAGCACATGGATCAGGAGTGGTACTCCAACAGGTCTTGCACTACCAAGCTATTTAAGGCTTTATAGGTTAAAATCAGTACCTTGAATCAGACCTAGAAGTATATACACAGCCAATACTAGTAAACCAGAATTACTGTCCTATGCTTGGACCGTCTGGCTCCAGTTATTAATCTGGCTGCCACATTTTGCACAAGTTGCAACTTCTGAACACTGATCAAGGGCACCCTCTTCCTGAGTGCTTGCAGCAATCTAATAGAGATATTACCAGAGCATAGATGACGGATAGCAGGCTATCCCTTTCCAGAGAGTGTTGTAGGTGGGCTACCAGCCAAAGTAGATAGAAAGTACTATGCTCCTGAAGTGACCTGAACTTCAGGTGACAGAGATGGCTGAAGGAAGACTCCCTGCTATGAATCTGTTCTTCAAGAAGAGTGCAAATCCAACCAGAACAGGTTGAACACCCTGCATCCAGCAGAAGCACCACCCACTGGCAGCATCCTCATTTGTTTGGACTAAGCTTCCATTTTGAGCCCCCATCCAGTACCCTGTTGTGGCCAGGCACTGGTTTGGCATATCCACAGCCTCACCGGATGAAAATGAAAAGGAGAAACACCACTCTGGCAACAAGAATCCACCTTAGGCAGGAAGGCTGAACTCTGAAACATGCTTAATTACAGCTATCATATCACTTCCTATGGATACTCAGTTTGTAGCCAATGGATACTAAATGATTGCATTTCCAGTTTCCTATTTCTGTCCACATTGACCTGGATCAGCCACTATATATTTAGTAAGTAATTGCAAAACATTAGATTTCCCATGTCTTTTTGTCAAAAGGAAAGTTTAGCCCACAAAGGCTTGCATGTCTTTGCTAGCAGTCTCCTGAGTCAAACTAAGGCAGATTGAGATGAGGTTGAAGAAGGCCTACCTATTCCAGTATTTTGTTTCAGGCAACCAGGTGCTTGTGTGAAGGCTGAAGCAGGATGTGAGCATGCTAGCACCCTGCCAATTGGGTTTCTGCAACATAATGTCTCTGATACTGGAAATAATAAGCAGTAAGCAGGACTAGCAGCCACTGATAACCTTAACCTCCATGCATTTATCTAATCCCCTTTTCAAACCATCCAAACTGCATCACTACATTTTGTCCTTTGTTATGAATCACATGCTTTGTTTGGCACAGAAAAAAAATGCAGAGGCTTGGTACATCAACCAGTAACACACTGTTTCAAACGGGGTACAAGTTTACACCAACATATCCTCCCACACACACAGAGTGCCAACTGTTCTATCAGCCTAAGGTCACAATAGTATCACATTGCACTGACACTGTTACAGCGAAATACACTGCTGCAAATGTTTCAGACAGACAGAGAACTACAGGCTGGATTTTAAATTAAATATTCAAAGCTGATATATTCAGGGCCCAGCAGTACAGAGATAATTTCGTAATTTAAAATTCCATTTAGACACTAATCTTAAAGGTCTTTCCAATGTGTGAACTACTATTCCCCCCCAGGTCAATCTACTGTTTTGAGATTCCAGTTAAAAAGTAGGTGAGTTTAAAAGGTCATCTTCATTCATTAAAATATTTGAATTAATTCAAAAGCTTTTACAATAGTTTTCCCATATATTAAACTTTATTTCAAATCTATTCTCTCAACAATTGCATAATAATTTTCCCAAGCTTAGTACAGTAACACTGAAACAGCATTCGACTGGATAATGCATCTTCTGTCTCACCTGACACCACAATGAACTCTATTTGAAAATTCATACAGAGGGTCACACTTGCAATGGTCACAAATGGCTTCTTAACATTGATACATATATACAGGTCTCCCTCTTGTATGCACACCTGAACAGATCAAGGTGGTTCAAGGGCATCAGATTAGCCAAGAACAATGCCTCCAGGAAGCCAGACTGCCACTAGGCTAGTCTTCTAGCAGGGTCACCCAAGGTGGAATGGTCAAATCTGGGGGATCAGTCTCCTCCTCCTCCTCCTCCTATTATTATTACACTACACTACATTTATACCCACCTTCCTCTTGCAAGGAACCCAATTCAGATAGCATGTTCAACCAGCTACTCAGGAAGAGTATGAATACCACTGTTGCAAAGGACATAACAACAACAACAGGTTTTATGGCAGATTGTTTGTATGTATAGGTTGTTCGTAATTCTGACCTTTATAACTTGGAGAAGGCCTGTATACACATGGACATCACCAGATGGCCAATACAGAAATCAAATAGACTAAATAATTGGAAAAAGTGATGCAGAATCTGGATTCTTTCTGCCAAAAGAAGGCCAAGAGCAGATTGTGGTACTCCCCATGAACTCACTGAAAAGCCTCACTAACAGAAGCATAGTGACAAAATAAACTTGAATAACATTCCTGAGGAATTTAAAGTCCACAAACAGAACAGATTTGCATTTCTGAACTCAACTGATCATGAACCAGAACTGTGGACTAACCGAGAGACATTAGGAGGAAAGAATGCTAAAAGACAATTCTTGCAACCAAGAAAGAAAAAGTCTAGATGGACTGGATGAGAGAAGAAACACTCACAATTTCTAAGGACTGGAAAGAAACAAAAGCAAAAGGTAAGAGAAATTGGATCAATCCTGAATGTAGCTTTCCTGAAACAATGTAGCTTTCCTGAAACAAACTATTTCCTGAAGCTTTCCTAAAGAAAAAACTATTACAATGGCTAGTGCAAAGGAATAGAAGAGAATAACATAAAAGGAAAAAACAAGAGACTTTTTCCATAAGATCCACAAAAAGAACTAAAAAAGATCAGCAAGTGTAAGGATGTTTTACAGGAGACAAAGGCCAAGATCATCCACATTCTGATCACTAGGTAGGAGTATGAAAGAGGGACAGTGAAGAAAACAGAAAGGAAGAAGATTGCTGCTTTTGAAACATGAAGAGTTTTGTGAATACCCTGGACTGACAGGAAGACAAATAGATCCTAGATCAATTTAAGTCAGAAAGCCACTGCACCAGCCCTCATGAAAGTTTCTCCCTCAACTGCAATGCCCTTCCTTCTTCACTCTCATTCCTTTTTCCTTGTGTGTTGTGTCTTTTTGTTTTGTAACCCAACGGAGAATTTCCTGTTCACCTTCAGTAAATGAAAGTCACTCTACAAGTGTTTTTGACAAAGAACAACATAGAAATATATCAACTATATCAGGTGTTTTATATTGTTGGATTTCTATGGCTGTTCTTTGATACCTTTTTATCTATTCCTGTGCTGTTTGTACTCCTTTAACTGCAGTCTACCCAGGAACAGTTGTTACTGCATTACTTAAAAATCGTAAAGAAATAAGACAGCGGCAATATCATCACAAATTGAAATGCAGCAGAAATCACACAGAGCTGCCTCTTCTCCCAGTACCTTTTTGATATACACAAGCAGTCCTAGATAATTCCATTACTTTCAAGGAAAAGTAGGAAATCTATGGTAGATGCTGACTAGAGAGGTACACACTGCTAGTAAGAGTACTGGGATGGAAATGGGATATTCACTGTAAGCCAGACTTTAATGTTTAATCACTTTTTCTATATCAAATATGTTTCAGAAAGACATTTTTCATAAATTTTCCATTATTTTTCCCAGTTCCATTTCATAGCCAGACAAAATATCCTCATTCAAATCTTCACTCTAGTCTATTTTTAAGTCCTCTAAGTCATCCATTTACACAGACAGAAATGTATCAAATATACAATTGTTGCTGAATTTTATCCAACAAGACAAAACCATACCAAGTGTGGCTTACATACACACAGTTTGCCAATCAGATGGATATTAAATTCAAGATGCTCCCCTTGACTTATAAAGCACTTTCAAATGTTGATCAATATTATCTCTCTCTTGCTGGTTCTGAATGCGTAAGATGACATAAGTCATTGGATATCTTCCTCATTTTTGTATGATAAGATTACAGTTGTTGATGACTTTGCCAAAATAGTCAAGCTTAACACAGTTATAGAAGAAATGCCTAACAAATATATTGGTGTTTTTCAAGCCAAATTGGTTTTGTGCATGCTTACCTTCAACTTTCCAACAGATAGGTGCAATATGCAAAGGAGCAGCCATTTCAGGTTCCCAATAGATTGCAACCTCATCTTCCAAAATGCTCATTAGAGCAATACCATCCCATTAAAGCAAGTAGAGCTGTTTATGTTGTGTAATGTTCACATACTGAATCAAATCATACTGTACATGGAGCAGCAGATGCAGCGGATGAATCTTCATATTTCAAAATGACAAGTCTAGTTGTGAAAACAGAATCATTGCTAAACTGCACTAAAAGGACTAAATTATGTTTCCAGTTCCAAGCAAAGGAGCAACATGGCTGAGGTCTATTTGTACAACCTCCATGCAGAGCAGCAGCAGATGATAATTTCCTGCAATTTTATGGCTGTATTACAGAAAGTTGTTGTAATCTTTTTAATTTTTAAATGGTTTAAATGTAAGTAATGCAATGTTTACATAAGAGTGTGTGTGTGTTTAAAGAGAGAGCACTGCATTTCAAAAACCCATTGGGAAGAAAAAATAAATTAGACACTCAAGAATCAACTTCTTTGTTTTTAAGTCTTCCTCCCCTTTTTTGGTTGCATGAAATATATGGTTAGAAGACACTGTTATTATTGCTAGTATTAGAATTAGCATTACTGTATAATGCACATGACTTCCATATATGACAACGGATGTTTACCCTTTCTCTTTTATATACTAACAAGTGGGACCTGTAAAAATGCATTGCAATATATCCTCATCCTCTAGGAAAAGTGTTCCTAATTAGGGTTCCAGACAGCAAGTCAGGATATAAAGGGCAGTATCCAAGGGGGTACTGTGCTCCTTTTGATTTGGTTTTGTAAGCAGCTACTGCTATATATTCCATTGCACTGGGTGGTGCATACAGAATAGACTCCATGGGACTAAGGCACAGAACCACATTGGATATTGCCTCATAAATGGTAAGGGCTCAAACAGACCAATTTACTTCTCTCAGCCTCAATTCTTCATTTTTCTGCTGCACATCTGCATACTTGCATATGTAGAAACTATTTGTGGATAGTTTTTATTTATCATATTCATACAAATCATCACATAAACTACCATGTCCTGCTCTGCCTTCACTCCTGCCCAGCTGCTTCTAGGTATAATCTGATTTCAATTTTATCTTCATGCTTATAATAATTATAGCACTGCATTTATACCCTGCCTCTTTTTCTGGTGGCAACCTAAGTTGGTTTCCACTTCTTTTCCATTTTATCATTACAAGAACCCTGAGAGGTTGGTTAGGCTGAAAGTCATGCTTGGCCCAAATTAGCCAGTGCAGTTTATAGCTGAGTGGGAACTAGAAGTCAGATCTCCCAAGTTGCAGACTATGATTCTAACCAATACACCATACTGGTCTTGTTACATGCTTACAGGAATTGACCAACTGAATTTGTCAGTTGCATTGGATGATTATTTTTATTACACAAATATACATAGCTTTCCATGATTGCAATGCCTCCGGTATAATTACTTTTCTCCATTTCCTGTTTGCCATAAGTATTGTCACAGTGCATTACAAATTAGAATCCACAGAAATTTAATTGCTTTACTTGTGCTGAAGGGAGTATGGATGGTTCAATGCATTATTGTCTCCAATGGCCTTAAACACAATTACAAATGTGGGAGATTATGACAGTTAAAATAAGTAATTTGGTATGTTTATTTAGCACTCATAAGCAATTCATTTCCTCTGTAAAACTGTTAGACAATATCATGCCATGAAACTTCTATTTCCCTAAAGGTGTTCTGAAGTCCTTCTGTGAGGTCTATAAAGTTGCTTCTTTCTGATGCTTTCACATATTAATAGAAATAATTTCACCATCCAACTGTGATTAAAAATCCAATTCAGTGATTACAAAATGTAAATTCTACTGGAGACCATTCAACAGACTGCATGTCATCTGTTCTCTCCTTATAACTTTTTGGCATTTGTATCCAATCCACAGTGCCGTTGTGTGTCTAATCAGTGCACATCTAATACAATGCTGCATAAGAGAAGAATTCATTAGCTTATCTTTAGTGTTTATGACACGTACTTAAGAAATTCTGATTGTATTGCCATTACCGTCCCCAAAATCCCAAGTCTGAGGGGACTAGAAATGTTGTGGGATTGATAAACTCTACCAGTTTGACATCAGTAGAGAAATTTAGAAGAACCAAGGCATTGCATTAATCTATCTCATCTTGTGTTACTAAACATAAAAGCCTATTTCCAACAGGAAGCCTTCAGGGGTGGCCAATCAAGTGAGCAGAGAACCCTCAGGCTGTGAGGAGAGAACCCTGATGAAATTGTTGGTGAATCCATAATGGTCAGAGGAGGAAGGGACAAGTATCCTTTCAGTGTCCTCCCCACCCCGGAATCAATTAAGTTGAGTAGTCTCTATGTGTTGAAATAGCAATATATTTCTTAACAAAGAATAACAGCTGCATGGTTTATTAACAATTATTCAGGTCTGTAGCCAATGCCCAATATTCATGAATTTAATTACAGCACTTCCAAAACTTGATAATCAGAGTAAGCATGTCTTGCCTCTGAAGGATGTTTCTGTCCTCACAGGAATATAGATTACATATAATAAAAATGTAGCATTGATTCTTAAAGTGTAGACATGTCTCATTTGTATCCATAGCATAGAAAGATAATCTATTAGGTAACTTCATGGATTCAAGACCTGTGGCTCCCACTGGATAACCATTTAGGCATTAATTTTCATCAGTGAAAATTATTCATTTTATCTGTAACAGGAATTAGATTTGCAATGCCCACAAATAAAGTTTTCAAAAATAAACAACAGGGTCTTAATACAACTTCCTGAGCTTTAAATAAGCTTTTGTTATTCTCCCAAAGATGTTTCAAAGAATGCTTCAGTGGAACTACAAATTAGAACTTACTGGTTTGATTCTGTCCATTTATGCATGAATTGAGATAATGGTCTCCTTACCCACTATGTGTGTTAATTAATTTAGGGCTATGGAGATGAGCATAACCACCTGAATTCAGAGGCTCATGTTTATTCATGGCAGAAGAGCAGAAGCATTGGAGGCGATCACCACTTTCCTACTATGCTGTTTGGCATTTTTGCTAGACAGCCATTTTCGGCCATCTAGCTAGGGAGTTTCATAGGGACAGGGAAGGAGGGTACAGTAAATTTAAGATAACGTGTCTCCCAGCTGGTCAGCCTATTTCCCCTCCTGCCAGCCAAAATGCTTCCTTTAACCCCTCTCCAAGGTTGTTCACCTGATCTCCGAGCACAACCCATCACAGTTCCTGCAGTGAAAGAACTGGTCCAATTTCAAGCTCAGAGATTCAAATATTGCATTTGACCTTGGAATCTGAACTGTTGTATAGTCTGTCAGACAACATCTGAGAAGCTATAGAATTATTCTTTCTGCCTTGCTAGGATCACTAGGTTGTTACCAATAACAGCTACTGTGAAGGGTCACTGCTTATTTTGCTGACATTTAAGCTTTAATTGAATTGTTACAAACAGTATTTCTTATCTGACCTCCTGTTTACACTTCACCTTCTATATACCTGTATATAGATTGAACGATGGGTATGTGCATGTGCATAAAATACCAATTGTGGACAACATTTCATGCATTTCATGCATTGAATTCTAGTCTGAAAAATCTTATGCCATTAGTAAAGCTGTGAACTATTAGAGATGGCCCTTGCCCCCTTGTTATGTTTATTGCAACTGACCTATAGCACAATTCTATAGATGCCTATACAGAAGTAAACCTGAGTTCAGTGGAACTTGCTCTCAAATATCTGTAGCCTCAGTAGCTGTTTAAAATGGGAAGGGCACAAGAAAGCAGCTTTCCTTACATCAATATCCTGAGATAACAAGTATTTTCAATATTTCAGCTTATAATCAATATGGTTGATGTTTGGAGGGGAATTAATTAATGAGGTTGTTTTAAGTGGATAGTGAAGAAAAGAAGTATTTAAGATTAGAAGCTATTTACTTGCTTGTTTTACAGAAATCAGTACTATGCTCCTTAGCCTCAGGAGCAAGACTTATTCAGGTCAGGCTGCGCAGGCCAGGCCATCCCTTGACATGACTTGCTAAGCCCCAAGTAATTAGCTACTGTGTTTTACCTCCAGTATCAGTGGCAGAAGGCTGTTATTACCTTGATGTCCTGCTAATAGAACATAGGCCTTTGGTCTGATCTAGCCCAGTTCTTACATTCTTAGGTACAGGAGATTTAAAAAGCCTTACCTCTTTCTTCTAATCATCATCAACAAGAGGCATAAAATGAACCATAATAATGCTGACTAAGGTTCCATCTAGTTCACTACTTTTTCCATAGAACTTCCTACCAGTGGGAAAACCACAAGGCAGACATGAGTGGAATAGAAATTTACCCATGTTTCATCCAGATTGGTGGTATCACTACATACTGTGCTGATGTAGCAGATGAGAGAAGGGCTTTCTTAACGTTGTTTATGTTTGCTGTCAAGTTGTCTCTGATTTATGGAAATTCTTTGAATGAAAGTCCTCCAGAATGTCTATGGAGGCCTGCTCTGCCCTTGAAAATTCAATGCTGTGGCTTCCTTTATGGAGTCCATCCATCACTTGTTTGGTTTTCCTTTTCGTCTGCTGCCTTCACCTTTCCCTAGCAGAATTATCTTCTCCAGGGAACCTTGCCTTCTCATGATGTACCCAAAGTATGACAGCCTCAGTTTTGTCATTTTTGCTTCTAGGTACTATATTAATACAGCTCTTTAATGCATCCAGAGAATTAAAAAAATAAGATAGACAATCCCAATGTCAGTGCAATTGATTGGGAAACTGTTTCACACCCCATAATGCAGCGGTAACTACACTGCTTGGGCCAGATTTTGAAGAGTGGACAAAATCATGCTAAGGCCACCAGTTCACCAACCTGATATTAGAACATTATTCCTGATGTAAGCAATAATGCAGATATAAGTCATTACATATGGAACACCAGAAAAGGATAGATAAGAATTTAGTACAAACAAAATGTCCTAAGAGAAACAAGTGGAGAGAGAAGAATACAAGAAGTCATACAGGATTGGGCTATGTCTATCTAGTCCAGCATTA